CACCTCCGAGGAGCTCGCCAACGGCCTGGAGCTCCAGCTCGGGGAGATCCTGGTCGACCAGCACGCCATCCTGATGAACCAGACCCCCATGGCCTGCGGCGCCATCCCCTCCGTGCTGCTGCCGGAGATCAACGTCGACCAGCTCATGTCGTGTAGTATGGACGCGATGCGCGCGATGGGGCCGCCCGCCCTCCTGGCCCAGCCGGCGCCAATCCAGGCCCAACCCGCTTCGGCGCCCCGCCGCTTGGACTCCCCGCGTGAGGATTCCTCGTCGACCGGCTTAACTAGCTTGAGTAGGAGGTCCAACGCGCATCTGCATAGACCGACGCGAAAATGCGACGGCGGGGGAAGTACGACGGGAAAAATGTCCATGACGTCCGAAACTTACAGCATTGAAACCTGAGATGGGGCGAAAAAGGAAATGTTAGAAAACGATCGAGATTTATGAGGGATTAGGGCCTAGTAAACTCTTTCTGGTTAGGTGCAAGTTGTATGAAATGGTGTTCCTTCTTCTGGGCGGGAAGCGGGTTCGTTTTTCCCCTTTTTTTGAATTCTTTCCATGCTTTTTTGGAGATTGGTCCATTGCATTGTGGAAGGCGCCGTCCCTTTGTTTAAAATACTACTTTGAAAACGGATTATTTATTTTAAAAAAAATTATGTTTCTCGATACGCGGTGCAAAACGCAGCGATGTTTTCTCCAATCCTAGTTTCGCTTAATATTGAATGTATATATATATATATATAAAGAAATATTAATCCGTTACTACTTTTTACCAGCGAGTTGACATTTTTGCTACTCTTTTTTTCTTTATTTCCCTTTTTTTTTTTCGAGGCAGTGAACCCAACGTTCTAGGTTTGAAAGGAGGGATGGGCGTACTATTTATTAGTAGACATACCTTGGCCTGGCTTTCACCGCTGGAACTACGTTTAAAATATATACCAATGTTATAAAAAAGGTAGGGGAAAAATGAAGCGAGCTGTGTAACAACTAAAAAAATATATTTTGTGTAAATATCCGATACAAAAGCAAAAGATGATTTAAATATTGAAAAGAGTAACTGCTGGTAAAATAGAATGCTATTTATAATTATCAAGTAATCTTGTGTGGGTTCTATGTGCTGCTATTCCTAAGCTAATACACATGGATTTGTGAAAAGTGAGGAGGTAAGGAATCTAGCTCAATAACAGGTTAACAATGTGTTTTCTGATTTGATGGATTTGTCTTTTTTATATATCTGACAGGGTGTGCCATCGCCCTCTTCTTTGTTCTATTTCTATTTATCTCCAGACAGATATTGTTACGATTAGTTTGTTCGCTTAAAAGGAAAAAACTAGCTATAATGTTTTATGCATACGCTGAGAAAAAAAATAGATCGTTTTGGGGTGATTGGCATTTACGTGAGGTCGCCTTTAATACTACACGCTGTCACCTTTATTATACAGGGCCTCTTAGATCATCCACTGCTGCTAGTCAATCACCTCAACATGTAAACAATACTTGCGACGACGTAGCGAGGAGAGCTTCGGAAAATAGCAATAATAATAATAACCGGTCTATATTTTCTTCCTTGTCAGATATGCCAAACTCGCGAGAGGGTGGTGGAGGAATTCACGCACGCGAAGCCGAAGAATCCACATCAGAAGTTTGTGCGATACCTCCTAGGCATAGTGTGTGCTGGGAAGGTAAGCTAAAGGTCTTTGACTTCGTTCCTGTTGCCACCATAAGGCACTTTGATATTCACGACCCCGCAGTGCAGGAAAACGACTTTTTCCAAATAAAAATCATTGGCGAAGAGCGGCCGCTGCTGAAAGATGAGGTTCCCCCTGTGGGTCCTCTTCTGTGTCCCTCCGCCGGGTTCGCCAGCCCTCACTCACAACACTCTATTGATAACGAGGAGTTGCTTCGGGATCCGCACCTTCTGATGGACTTATTCAATGCGATGCGCGACCAATTCGAGGACATGGAGAGGGAAGTGCAACGTGCGATGGGGTCGGCCTCGACTCACGAGCCGCTGTCGCTCAAAGCTCTCAAATCCCCCGTCAACCCACCCATTGGGGGCTACTCGATGAAGAAGATCACCCTACGCTGCCGGAACGAGCACGAGTTCCGCCGCTTCTGGTTTGTCCTGCAGAGCGTGTTGGGGTA